TTGCATGATCGTTCTGCTGTTTTCTCTCTCAGAAATCCCAGCTTTCAAACTGATTAAATCATGTCGATAAGGAAGTGGGTTTTTGTTTGCGTCTGTTTGAATAACTGGGAATGGCCTTCACTTCCCGATCCGTGGTTCAGGACCACCGTTAGAAAAGACGATATTGAATCATTTATTCACAGACGCATGTCGACGCCAGCCATCGGCATAATAATGTACAAATGACACTGCGTTGTATAATGAAAACAGTTATATAACATTTACATAAAACCATCCTTGTTCCGTTAATTCTTTCGAACAAGCTGGTTAATGCCTTTCCAGGTGCTGTCACTCAAATTAAACGTGTTCGACATTCCATTCGTTGCGTGGTCATCTTTTTTTACTCGATATTCTTCAATTAACAATCTGATATTTGTTCTCTCCTTTTCAGCGGAAGTGACATTTCGCAGACAAAAGGAGTTTCCCAGGTGGAAAGCATGGGAAAAGATGCCAGATTGGTCTTTTTCAATTTCTCAAAACTGCTAGATGTACCATTTCATTCGACCTTCGAATGGTATTTCCAGTGTAGATCTTCCCACAGTCATTAACTTGATCTTATAAATCACGTCCATCTTTTTCACTTACTATATTTGATGAAGTTCCTGTAAATCTGCGACAGATCAATCGGCTGTTTTTAGTAGATTCCATAATGTTCATTCTCCAGGTGCTTTTGTATTATGTTCTAGAGTTTTGGAATAAATCAAATCTCATCACTATATATCATGAAATGCTGTAAAACGCATAATAATTTTGCTTGTACCCTTCATAGTCGCTCAAGCGATTTTTCGGACGAAGCTTAATCCCATTAACCGTTTAAATCATGTTTCACGTATAGAGTTATTTTTAATTTTCTTATCTTTCTAAGTGTCATACTGTAAATGGGTGAAGAACGCTTACAAACCCTGAATACAGACTCTTTCTGTTTCAAAACATCATTTTCATGATTACAACGTATTAAAGTAAAACCCTGTGCGTTTTTCATCCGTTTTTGTCATCCCATAGTATATAATTGGTCCCCAAATAAAGAAATTATATAGTATATGCGACTGTGTTTTTGATCACACTGTACACATACTCTTTAATTGAAATTTTTTGGCGAATATTCAGACAAAGTGAGAGTTATTAGTTTTGGGAATTAAATAAAGCCATTTTGGATATCTGCGCAGTAATAGTAAGTGAATGAGTGATAACGAGGGATAGTTTACTTCAATACTAAGGTCATCTTCGATTGTTAAATTTTTGGCTGGACTGATTGCATGATTTCACAACAATTACAGTATTTATTTTTACGGCGTTGCAAGTGTCGGTCAGTAATATCTTAATGGTTATTAAATATCGACGTTCGTTGTTGAATATTGCTTTTTCTGCTTTGCCTGTTGCTGAATGTGGTTTTTAGTTAAATGCTTGCTTCTGTTGTTTAGATTCACGGGATGGTGATGTAAGTATGCTAGTGTGTGGGATTGGAATATGTGAACGATGCGTGGGTGATTTTAGTGCGAGTCTGGTTACACCAGTTCTGAATTAGAACAGAAGCTCGAACGCAAGAAACTGATTTGTAAGTAGCATTTTCGACTTGCATGCCTCTAATGGACCATTACGTTACGTGTGTACGTCGTTTTATTTACTAATCTACCGATCGGCACTGTTATGGTGTTTCGTTATCTTAGTATTGAAGTAACGATCACCCGTCGCTTTTCATTGTACTCAGCACATTTCCGTGTAGCCGTTTTTTTTGCCTCGTTTTCTCGGTTTGTTCTTCATCTTGTTCCTGTTTCGGTCATACTGTAGTATATGCAATTTCGCGCCAACTTGTAGCTAGCAAAGGCGACTTCGAGGACGGATACGTACGCGGCTTTCGGGACGCGCACAAGATCTCGTCGGCAACCATGGCGCGCCGCCGCCTTGACGAGGACTTCGGTGGAATGAAGATGGACTTCCACGCGGGTTACATCCAAGGACTAAGGGACGCCGGTCTGCAAGGCATCACGCAATCGATGCAGCACCTGGCAGCGTCAAAGCCGAGTGCGGCCGGAGGCTATTCGGCCGGTTACATGCAGGTGAGTCGTTGTCGCCTTCTGTCGCTCGCTGTTTAGCAGACTGTTTTCAACCTCATTGAGCAGTTAAAATGTGGATAACTTAAAATCGAGCATTTGCTTCCTCACCGGAATCAGAAGGTGCTGACGCTTCTTCTACAGATTGCCACTCATCGTGCGGAACTGTGGTTGCACAGCCGCAGAAGTTGGTACAAGTTCAATACGCCTGATATCTGAATGCTGACCATCCACGGGTGTTACTTTCACTCCTTTCCCGACCTCACTCTACACTGATCGTAAGGTTTCTCCCTAAGCATAATTAGTAACTGCCAGCCTTTATTATGAAGGTAGGCGGCTCCACATATACGCTTTCTTTAAAAATCAATGGTTACAGTCACTTTATATTGTTCCTTCCGGTTTTTGTACGGGAAGTATTTTGCATGCATTTTACGGAAGCGTTTTATCCGGGGAAAGGGGTGGGGTGAGGGATCGAATCATTCGAGCAGTATGGCTCGCTTTCGATGTGTTAATAAGTTTGCGAACATGCGGCAGTATTTTATGACCGTCCTATTGTTTAATAAGGAGGCCCAATTCAACCAGTTAGACGAATTGCAGTTTTGATAAGTAAATGTCTGATAAATTGGACAATAACATTCTGGCAGCAACCTTCCGCGTTGGAACAGGGTCACTGAAATGAATCTCGCTCTTTATTTTCCCTAATCTAGTCACTGTAATACCTAAAATGTCACTGATTATTACGGTTTCTTGCAGACTTTGCCTTTGTCTTTTTTGTGAACTTTTCTGTAACCCTGAAGTCTCCTCTTTTGCTCTGGCGTAATAGTCAGGATTATCAAATGGACACTTCAGTACAACTTGTCCACTCTGAAATTTTCTCAGTGAGAATTTTAATTCCACTATTTTTCCGGTGTTTCCACATAACAGATATCACAGCTGACGTAATGAAAATGTGCTGCCAGTGTTTTGTCTCTCTTTTATAACTGTTAGTCTTCCGTTAAACGAGTAACCTCTTCTTCATTGAACAGTGTTCTCGTTCTTCGCTTTTTGCGGCATATGACTTTTGATAGTTATATTGCATGATCTTGCACAAGTGATGGTCTGGAAGTAATGTAGGAGTCTGGTCCGGTACCATGAGGCGGTGATGCCCGCCACATCAATAATACCTCTCCATGACAAAATCTTACAAAGTGCTCCACTTTTCTGAATCCTTTTGGGATGGATGAAGGTTCAGAGACGTCAGCAGTAGTTCGTGAGAATTTGGCGCCCAAAATTGACTACCGAAAAATGCTCAAGAATATAGCAGATTTGAGGAGCGTCGAGTTTCGTTCGCGGCGTGCCCACAAGAGCTAGGTTGGTTGAAGGATCACATTAGATAGTCACTTATCAGGTTAAGGCAAGTTACCGCACTAAGAGGCACTCGCATCAGGTAGCATGACCGCTTTTCTCGACTCTTCTGATATGTCTACACAAGAGCTCCATTGTGCCCCTTGTTCACGAGTGACTGCATGCTACTCATTTCTTGGCTGATCGTATCGAAACAACGTGAGGTGAATTCCTTGCTAAATGAAATTATTGTTTAAAAGGATATTTTCGGTTTGAATCTGATATATTCAAAGTTCGAAGCCGATCTCCTACCACTGCTCTACTGTTACAGCCAAGATTTTAAGCCTCTGTCCGATTTGACAGTGGTGTTTTGTCATACCAATGAGCTGTGCTCTCCAGCATGCTTAGCAACGCTCAGTTGCCTCACCGCGCTGAGCAATGCACAAAAAAGGAATCGAATATCAGGAATCCCAGAACACGGACAAAATTAGCCACCGAAGGTGTAATGATACAGTGGTTAAGAGGTCAGCTTTAATTTCCGGAGAAGCCGGGTTCGCATCCGCTCAGGGAACAGTCCGTATCTTTATTGCTAATTCCCTGGGGCAATAAATTAACCCCACTTTACTTTAGTTCATCCAGCCGAGAAACGGGTAGTAATTTGTTGACTTAAGAATTACTCGGATGACATGACATTGCGGTTATTCCGGTTATGACGGAATGGACATGCTGTCTGATAACAACGCTCCTTGTGGCTGCACATCGTCTATAACCACATGATGGCTGGCGATTCAGTGTAATGATCATCACAAGGTGAAACCCAAATTTCGCTTTCGTTATGGATTGTGCATATTCAAGTTACGTACGTGATTTTGAGCATTCATGAGGTGACTGGCATGGTTAGCTGTTTGTTTCATATCTGCTACTGACACGAAATTTTGTACATGCTTATGAATATTTTGTGTATGTAATATGGTGCGTGAAAATCAGGATGTCTGATCGATTTCTCCGTCCTCTTCTTAGTTCTTTTCATCTTCTTTTTTCTTCTGCTGTGATTGTTACTCGACCGTTTTAATGGCCGTTTCGAACTTTTGACTTGCATTTTTTCAGGGTTTCCGAGATGGAAATTCCGGAATATTTGGTGACAGAATCACGACCACACTTCTGAGACGATTGGAGGAACAGTACCCGAATCAGGATGAGTTCCGACAAGGCTACATTGAGGGATTTAAAGACGCGACCAAGAATAAGACCAGCGAAACTGTGACCTCGCAAGATCGGGCGGTATGAGTTTCTTATATCTGTCATTAGTTGTATATGGCCGAAATGAGAAATTTTTCATCCGAGTTAATTGACTCTGGACAGCTCTCTCGTTCAAATGTGTAAACTTAAGTCGGAATGGCAGAGTTGTTATTGATTTGTTAGCCTTATTTGTTTATGTCTTTTAATCATGACGTTCCGTGTGTAGGTCACAGGTGAACATTACGCATCCGAAAGTTTGAACAAAATCACCGAACGGCTTTCGACTCTCGAAAGACAAACGTCCGATAAGGGAGACGGTATTCACACGACGAAGATCTACCATGTCTGTAAGCGAACCATTTATTTTGCTTTTCTACATGCACATTTCATAAGAGCTGCTTGTAACACGTTTTGAATTTCTATCGTCCAACAAAAAACACTTGCAGTTCATGAGATATATGATACAAGATTCATCAGACGACAAATTTATTTAGCGGCTGCTATTTTCCTTTTTTCCAGAAGAAATTTTTCATTTCTGATCGAACATTCCCTGAGTCGTGGGATCGTCGCTGTGACAGTCATACCTTCTTGCAATTAGCTTATGTTTCGCTGAGGACAACTGAATAGCCCATGCTTGGCTAGCCTTTTGTTGACTGAGGCACATTGATGTTTTGCGAAGCGCCCACCCCACCCCCTCCTCCGCGATAAAAATGTCAGGACAAATTGTTATGTCGTCATGAAAAGGAAAACAGTGGCGATTGGGAAGATGAACTTGTTTGCTAGCTGCAGTTGAAATCAACGGCGAAGTCGGAGCAAAGTCACAACCGGCCGCAGAGGCCAATCTTGCACCGAAACTTTCCACTGCTTGACTGAAGAGTTTTGCCGCACCATTGTAATTCCATGTGCTAATCTGGAGTACCTCAACGGTTGTTCTTCACGCGTACCATTCTAGGATAACGAAGCTAATCGACTAAGAAATTATATGGCTGTGTTTATAGACAACCAACTTCCCGAGAGCGCGGGTTACATAAGCAATGCGGAGCAGCTGGCACAAGAACTGGAAGAATTTTCAACGACGTCACGCAGAGGCACACTTCGACGTCATTATACCGTAATTTTGGGGTTTTATTCTTTTTCCGCCCTTTGTTAACATCTTGACATTATTTTAGCCTGGCGATTACCTGAAATACTCTAGCGACACAGAACATGCAGGAACGATGGAGTCCACCACGCTAAGGCCATATCGTCGAACGTTGTCGGCATCAAACCTTGGCAGAGGTTTGTGCAAATGCACATTTGCAGTTGCAGAGGGCATAGTTGAGGTATGACGTCGTTTGCTTTCAGAGACACTGTCATCCACTCTTGGACGGCGCAATCTATCTGCGGACCGTGCCAGGTCGGTCAGGACCAATATTAGCCAATACAATGACTCGTACTCTCGTCGGAGTCACTACCGTACGAAGTCAGACACTGGCTCCACTTTCGGAACAATTCCGAGACGATTCCCGAGCCAGACCATCCTGCAGGGCATTCGACCAGGTCCGGCCACAGCCAGACCTCTGGGGAGCGAGAAGACAGAGTTTCGCCAACGAAGCGAACTGCGAGAAACGCAGTCATCGAAAGCTGGTACTTGCTTTCATCGTATTTTTTCTTTCTTTCGTTCAAAGTAATGTGGCATGCTTTCGTTATAGCTCAACTGTATTGCAGCGATGCGGGCTATGCAAATGATACCTGGCGCAGCAGGCAGTCAACTTCGAAACCTTTGTCGCTGAGAACCGACGGGGGCACTTACGGTACCAAAGGTTTATTGCAATTTGGTTTTTACTATGATTATGGTAATATCGGTAAATATTTAAGCAAATAATTACCAGCGAAGGTAAGCGTCCTCGTCATGAACAGCGTCCTTGAGTTCGTGTCAATCAGC